CGAGTGGTGCAGAAAAATCAATATTCTCTGGGAGGAGCTGACAGAGCGGCCTGCGCACCAGCAGCAGCCCAAACGACGTCAACAACGAGCTAAAGGCGGCGGCGTCCTGATAATAAGTCAACATATGATCTGCATTTGGAGAGTGATGAAGGTGAGAGCTAGCACACAAAAAAGGGTGACAGCAAAACATAAAAAAAACCTTCGATGCAATATAAAGTTACGGAAAGAAGCTCAGGTCAGTGGAAAGTAATGTGAGAGTCGACGAGCTGCCGAATGTCCTGCAATCCAACCGGAGGTCTCTACTTTCAGTTCGCTCTCTGCGATTGAACCAGCTGAGGAAACGCTCTGTCGTCCACGCTGACCGTCACCAGCGTCCAAACTCTCCACTCACAAGGGCCTGAACAACAAGCGCTGAAGTTCACGAAACAGAAGCAGAAGCTGGAAGTCATTATTCAAGTCCAATCTCCTGCATCCTTTCACTTTTGCTGCTGGTGTGGCAAAGACATCAGCGTGTGCGTGTGTGTGTGTGTGTGTGTGTGTGTGTGTCTGTTCACGGCCCTCTATGGCTCCAGGGTCTCTCAGTCAATCAATCAGCCCTCATACCGAGCCCCAGCAGCCCAGATGGTTGCCCTCGGCTCCTTTGTCGATACAGTTTACAGCTGTTCTCCATCTGCAGAGTTCTCTCTCTCCCTCGAGCAAGGGTTTCAAAACGCCTGCTGCAGACATGAGCTGCTTTCAGAGGCAACGAAAATACATCAGTGTGAAAATGTGCGATGGCATCATGCCCACGGGGGTAGGGGAGGGGTTCTTTAAAACACCCAGAGATGGGATGTTTTGTGGATCTGCTCTCATTATCAAGCAAGTAATATGTAGTAAACCAGGTGGCCGGTTCGGCGCTCGGCTGAGACGTCGTCGTGCAAGCAGACTTAATCGTGGGTTTTTTTTTTTTTTTTGTCTGGTGGCGTCGACTTGTAGTGGAAATAAAAGGCTTGCGCCGAAGAGGTGGGGCAGCGGAGCGGGGAGTATGCTGAATAAATCAGCCAATGGCAAGGTCAGAGAAAATGAAAAACACAGACTTAAAGGAAGATACTGCTTTCTTTTAATGACTGGGACCAAGATGAATATCTTTTTTATTTATGCAGACGGACATGCTGTAATGGAGGATCGTTTTCACACAAAGCAACTTCAAAAACAGCGTGTCTCGCTGGGACATGTGTTGTCTGTCTCGCTGGCATCATCGCAGTAAGCTAAAAAACAGAGATTATGATCAGACGGTGGAGAGACATTTTTATTTTTCCCATCTGAAACCCATTTTTCCTGAGGTCATCCTTCCTCCTACCCATTTAATTCAGGTAGTGGTTAAAATAATTCACTGACACGTCATCTGTTTTTATACATTAAACACACTTGACTTTTTGCAGGCATGTTTTGCACAATCCTGCAGAGGATATTCCTACACATTGTTTAAGCTTATTAAGTGAAAACTAAATAGTAAAGCCAAATGTAATCTAAAAATACATCTAAGGAATGTGACGGCATGTTGCCAGCGTCCAAAACATTAGACTATATTAGATCCTGATAAGCTAGAATTCATTGATACCTCTGGGAGATTTGTTTCTAGATTTTTAGGTCATTAAAAAAAAAAAGAAATACCAACATGTTTCTTCTGACTGGCAGTAATATCAAGGCTTTAATTGGCCTCGCCAGAGTCCTAACTTAAATCTGTTGGAGATTCATATTCAAAGTGATGCTCAGCAATTGAGATGGCTGTATTTAGGTGCAACAACAAAAATATTTTTTTTGTCATTGTTAAGAGGGGTATAAATGATTTTCAATAACTTAGTTTAATAGAAATCACTTGTAAATTAAAAACACTAAATCTTTTATGTTGCTTTGTTGTCTTTTCAGATATGCAGGTTTTTTTTTTTTGTTACCAGAAAAAAACTGAAAAATTTTAGGTTTAAAATTGAAACCTAAATCTGCCAGGAATGATTTCAGCATGAATGTAAACTTGGTCAAAAACAGCAGAATTTAAGTGCAAAGTGTGAATTTGCTTCCAAACTATGCTTTTAGTCCACACTCGTGTTGTGACGCTTTATTTGTGAAGATATTTTATACCTCGAAAACTTGGGCTGGAAATTTGCAAAAGAAGAAAAAAAAAAAAAAAACGGTAGACGGTAACAGACCACCACCTGAAGGCAGAACAGAGTGGATGACTCAAGAGGTCAAAGGCCAGAACTTTCCTCCAGCAGTTTCTGAGGACCAAAATCAGAGCTAGCAGACAAAAGACTCCCTCAGTGTGTCAGAAAATAAACTTCCCATGATCTAGATTTTACAAACAAGTTTTCAGAGTCTGGTTATATTTGTTCAGAAAGCAACGCTTTTGTTTCTTTTTGTTGATTTGTTGATGTTTAAACTACTTTAAATAAAGTAAAAAAAAAAAAAAAACCCTACATTATCCAATAGAGACAAGAATTAGCCAAGTTGCCCAGCTTTGGATTAGTTGTTTGTGGTTTGATCTTAAATCGTAAGTTATGAAACAACAGCATCTCTGACTGTGAACCTTTGTTTTGGGGATGCATCGGACACATTCACTCCATGAGGCGAGGTCCACCACATCAACACTGAAACAAGCATATGACTAGCATATGTTGCAGCCAAGCATAATGTCTAAAATCAGACTCATGCTTACCTGTTGGACTGACAGTTGTGGCGCTGATGTTGCCTCCTTCTCCCCGGACGCTGTCTTCATCCGAAGCACCGGGTAAGATGGTCCCTGATCCCACAGCGTGGGACCAAGCGGACTCCTCGTCATCCTGGGGCCCCAACAGAGACAGCGGATACTCCAGAGAGCCATTCGCCTTCTCCTCTAGGACAAAGGGAAGGGATGCTAGGGAGTCGTTGGAGTTGTCCTTGACATTTGCCTGAAGTGAGGGAGCCAATCCCGTGGTTTGAGTCTCAGTGGTGGAGTGGGAAGAGGTTGGTGGTGGTGATGGAGTCAGGGTTGGGATCTGGGAATAGGATGGGGAGGAGGAGCTGCTTGGAGGTGAGGAGGAGGAGGTAGAGGCGTGGGATGGGGATGGGTGGGCAGGTTGAGACTCTAACAGGGACTCTGGTGATGGAGAGGAGGATATGGGTGGTGAGGGTGATGCAGTTGGAGATGGAGAAGATGACAGAGTTTGAATTGTCTCCTGTGGGGTAGACAGAGAGGAGTTTTCGGTCGCCGACAGCGTGGTCTGGTCTCCGGCTGTGGAGGAGTCGTCCTCAGTCCCAGCTGCGGTCGTCTCTGTGGTCACCAGTGGACTGGTGGCTGTGGTTGTGGTGGACTGTCCTTTTCTGTGACCCCTCTCTCTGGATCTTTCTCTGGATCTCTCTCTTGGTTTACCGTCAGCCGGTCTCCGCGAGACTTGAATCTCCCCTTTTGCCTCTGCGCCGGTGATTTCGCCACTCCCCTCCTCCTCTGCTTTCCCTCTCTCCTCTCCTCTCCTTCTGTCTTCTCCTCTGCTCTTATCCTCCCCTCGGTGTTTCTTCCCCCTCCCTCTTCCCCCCCTGCCGCTGGCCCTGGAGGTCACAGTCTCCGCTCTCTTGTCTGCCAGCTTGGTCGTGGTCTCCATTTGGACAGTGATCCAGGTTTCCTTGCTGGAGACTTCAGGTGAAGAAGAGCTGGAGGGACTGAGGGTGTGGGTCTCCGAGCCTGTGAACGTCTCTGCTGTCAGAGAGTCACCAGAGGAAGTCAGAGTGGATGCTGGGTGTGTGGGAGAATCTTCTCTGGATGGTGCAGACGCTGCAGGGGGGCTGCTGAACCATGAGCTCCCCCAGGAAAATAGACCTGTGCAAAATAAGAAAATAACAGAGAGGCAAAAGACGAAAATAAGACTTTGTGAAAATATTTCCATCACTTGAATGCTTCCAGATTTCGTCAATCTACAACCACAAACTTTGTGTGTTGGCATTTTGTGCGACGGGCCAACACGAAGCGGTGAAATATTAATAATTGTGAGGAAAATAGTATGTCAATTACAAAACACTGTATGTAATTAGACACTAAAGGGACATTATGGGTGCTTCACCCAGCCATAATCAATTTTAAATCAGGTCTCCTTATTGATTTTCACCATCCAAGAGGAAATTCTAACTTCAGAATTGACATTTCCAACTTTGAACTTGGAAATTCTGACTTTTAAGGACACAAACACACCAAAAATATTGTTTAAGTTTCCAAAGAGCTAAATCAGCAGATCAAACCATCTCTGTCCAGTGCCAACATGCAGTGTACACCTCTGTTGAACTCCTGAATAATGTTTGAATATCTGTAAAAGGCTGCATTTCACTGCATCTCCAGAAATGACTCTGGAATCAAGTGTGAAGGAAACTTGGATTTGTCAAAGTAAGTCATATTCATGAGTGTCAAAAGGACAACTATGCACTTTTTAAACTAGCGATTGTGCCTAATGTTGACGGTAGCCGTGAGGCCTGCCATCAATCGCAGCTCGTTAAGACTCCTACAGAAGAGGCAGAAAGGTCAGCGCAACTTCAGTTCGCCGGCACTCTTCAATCCTACAGCAGTTTGCGCTTTTCTGTCCGCACTGAAATCCTCTGCTCCTTTATTTACTGCAGCGATGCCTGCAAGCATTTTAGCTGGCTTAACACCCTATCTGGCACACTCTGCATGTACCATCTAAAACATATCCTTTGGATATTTCAGACCTATTTCAGCTGGAAACCACTCCGGCGCCACAGTATCTACCTGCAGGCTCTGAGGTCGGAGAGGCTGCCGTTTCTTTGAGGCATGTTGAGAAACACCATCGCGTAGTGTTGGACTCTAAGCTGCAACTACACTGTTTAATAAAGTAGGGAAATAAAACTGTGGTGATGTGGAAGAGAAGGTGAGTAAGTCTCCCAATGCACCATCAGCATCTATTAAAAATCATATCAGTCTCTTTTTTATATTTATAAGTCTCAAGTCGATCAAAAGTATATTTGTCCGTTTCTCTGAAGAGTAAATTGTCTTTTTGAAATCAGAAAATACAAATGAAACCAGGAGTTTACATACACCAAATAAAAAGACACATTTTTTCTCCACATTTTGTCTGAAGTGAACTTAAATCAGACTAAACTTTTCGTTTTAGGTTAATAAACTACAAAACTGTTTCTATTTGCTAAATGCCACAATACTGAGAGAAAGAATATGTCAAATGTGTTTATCAATGACATCAGAATCAGAAGTTTACATATATTTCCTCAGCTTTCTGTAACACTGGGTTTAAACTGGATGACATGGGTCACTCTTTTCAGATCTACATTCTCCGTAGGATTAAGATCAGAGCGGTGTGATGATCCCACTGAAGCATCAACTTTGTCGACAATAATCCACTTTGCCGTCGCTCAGCTTTATGCTTCGGCTTACTGTCTATTTGGGAGACCAAGCTGTGTCCAAGCCTTTAGATTTTGCTTTAATATTTCATGGCCTTTCCTCCTCCTGATGCCATCTATTTTATGAAGTGGACCAGTTCCTCCTGCATCAGTAATGAAGTCCCACAACATATTTCGAAATTGGGGTGGTGCTTTTTTCCTCCAGATGTAATGATGGTCAAATGGTTCTACTTTAGCTTCACCAGACCTCAGGACATGTCTCCAGATACAATAGTATGATTAATAATTAAGTAAGAACACATAAACTCTGGAAGAGTTGGAGATTGAAAGTCATGGCTGTCTTCGTCTAATAAGGATTTTATCAAATGGTCTCTCTCTGGAAAGGTAAACTCACAGTTTATGTACATAATTGGGATTTAATTGAAAATCTACCTTAATCAAAGATAATGGGATGATCCTTTGAATTAAAAACAATGCAACTGAATTATTGCCTACGTTCTATCACAGATAAAAAACCCTATAACCTGATTTTGAAGTTAGTGGTTGTAATGAAAGAAATGTGAAGCTAAAGGGACATAAATCTTTCCACGAGACAATGCATCATTCGTGTGTCAGACTAATCTGTTAAAATCCTCTTCTTCCAACTTTTACCTGAACTCAGAGAGTCATTTCCTAATCTTGGTGCTTGGGGCCACCTGCCCTGCATGTTTTAGATGTTCCCTCACTTTAACACGTGCGGTTTAATTGGACAAATTACTCTCGCAGCATGTTGTAAAGTTCAGAGGAAGCCTTTTAATGACCCCATCAAGTCTTGTGAAGCAGAGCAACATCCAAGACGTGCACAGTAGTGGATCTGAAGGACCATGATTTGAAAAAACCACATTAGCTCGTTTAAAAAAGAGAAGAGGAACACAGTTTCTCCTCTCATGTTCTAGTCCCTCTCCACAGGGATGTTATGAAGCGTCAGGAAGAGATCCCCAAGTAAAAATGTTACAGATAAGCTGCACAAATTCAATCTAAATATTACAATGTTTGGAACAATCACACAATTTTTTTTATGTTTTTGCATCAGTGGGGAAATGTGTTTAGACCAGAAAAAAAAAAAAAAAAACTTCTCTGCTGACTTCTAGCTCCTTCTTTAACCTCCTCTGCTTCTGCACCTCCAGGTGCATTTGAGGACAAAAATATCTTTTAAAATTAGATCCATTTTTAGATTACACGCAGAGCGATGTTGGAAAGAGGGCATGAGGGGGGGCCCAGTTTAGGAAATGAGTTGAGCCTGCTGTGGCCCTGTGAAAAGTAAACCCCTTCATCCTCAACACAGCAGAGTCCACTTACAGGTCTCAGGCGGTCCTGGTGTGTATTTGGAAAAACTTGAACTGATTAAAATGTGCAGACAACCACACTGGTGTGTGTGTGTCTGAACAGGCTCCAACCAGCTTGTGGTTTTAAAAGTGTGACAATTGTATTTACCAGGAGAAACCGGGCTGGGATCTTTTTGCTCGTCGTGTGTCTGTTTCGTTGTAATCTCTTCATCATGTCCGCTCGGGGCTTTGGTTCCTTCCTCGTCATCTGTTCCCATCAAATAGTTCCAAGGTTTCCAAATTGACTTCACAATTTTTGTGATCGCCTGAAGAAGTAAACAAACTGTGATGAGTTATGTGTTGAAGCTTTTTCAGATGTTCGATTAGAAATGAAACCGACTTTTTTCTCTGTGGGTGTTGGGAGAGCAGGAGGCTGCAGAAACTCCCCAGAATCGGGCCCGGGCTCCGGCAGCTCCCCCCAGTCGAAGGAGCTCTGTCCTGGGGTCATCTGAAGGGTCACAAACGACTCTGAGGCCTCAGAAGACCAGGGATCCAAAGCTACGAATAATCACAGATGTAGTTACTCACACCTGGTTTCAATGTTAAAAATTCACACCTCCACAGTATTTAAGGCCCACATTTTTCATTGTTCCTGGTTGGTTTCTGCTGCTGATCTTCACCTGGTTTCTGTGTTGAATTTTTTCACGTCCTTCTGGAAGTTTGAATGTTTTCCACACTCCAAGAATCTATCGATATCCCATTTATACATCTCTGGAAAAACTAAGAGGCCCACTGCACTGAACCCCATTAAAAACCTCGTGGTTATTCCACCAAACATTGATTTCTGATCTGAGTTAAAACATTAGCATTGTTGTGTCTAAATTAATATAAACTTGTTTTCTTTGCATTATTTGAGGTCTGCATCTTTTTTGTTATTTTGACCATTTCTCATTTTCTGCAAATAAATACTAAATTTTTGCTTGGAATTTCGGAGACATGTTGTCAGTAGTTCATAGAATAAAAGAACAATGTTCATTTCACTCAAACATTTACCAATAAAAAGTAAAATTAGAGGAACTGATTTGTTCTCACCACCCAAGAATGACAGTTCATTGATAGTTTCTGTGACCGTCCTCGCAGAATTTGCAACACGAATCAATAAAAGGCTGTAAATAAACAGTCACTCTTATTTTAAAGCGAGAAGGCCATAGCAGAAGACAATCCTCTCAATTTCCTCCTACTGTCGCCACATGCCTGCTCAGGATTCGAGATTGTTGCAAAGTCAAAGACTTGATGCAATCAGCTGGCCTTTTTTTCCAACTGCCTTATAAAACGATTTTATTAGATTTATAACTAGGATCAAACTGAAGGTATATCTGAATCTGTTTACTATGTAGTGTCACCACTATTTAAATAAAAGAGAAATGAAAGACATTTAATAAGTCCAAAATATCATTGAAAAGTTAATTTACCAGCAATTCTGCTCACAAAGTACTTAATCAAAGTTGTGCAGTTATTTCAATTATTTATTACAAAATCATTCCAATAAAATCACTGGAATTAATTTATTTCCATTAACACTGATGATTATAGATGGCAGCTAACAAAAAAAAACAAAACAAAAAAAAAAACACAGATGCAGTTTCTTAGAAAAATTAAGAAAAATGAAGTGGCATAATAAAAGAACAACAAACGCTGTTTTCAACCCAGAAAAATAAGCCTGGACAATGTCTTCCTACTCAAATTCCCTTGAGACTCATCTCTCTTTATCCTGGCATATCCTGGTTATGAAAAGTGATATTTATTTTTAAAAATTATAGCCGGCATGTATAAAGTTGTAGCTCGGCCACGGCAGCAGAGGAAGTACACAAATCTATTCAGTCCATGTCGGCCACGCTTCCAAAAATATTGAGGAATTAAAGTTGGAGCAAGAGGAAACTTTAAGACATTTTATTGTAGGCAAGGATTTAGTGATCCTACTGAAGCTCACAATTTCTGGTAAGCTTCATAGCGTAGCTTCCTTCAAGATCAAGCTGGTGCATTGCACACGACAAAGCAAAATGTTAAAGAAATCAGGTTAGTTGTAAGCTATATTCATCGGAAATATATGATCGGAAAACATCACACTGTACCAAATCTGATAGATGAGTTTCAGTTTTTGAATTGGATGCAAGAACTGTTAAACAAAGCAAATGTTGCAAACTGCTGAGGTCTGAGTACAAGATCTCAAACTTACAGGTTCTGTTATTGGACTCCTCTTCTTCGATGTCAACCAGTCCTGTCCAGTTGGACACAACCGGTCCAACTGGGCTGCTGCTTTCAGAGGAATCTATATGAAGGCAAAATTAAATCATCACTCACTACCACTTTGTAGTTTGTTTCTGCCGCGTCTGACAAGCTAAGTAATTGGCTGATTCGAGACCCAGGCTGTAAATGGATGTAAAACCTGTGAACGTGGCGGTTTGCTGTGTCGTCACGTTGGAGCTTTCAGTCTCTGCAGAGTCAGCATCACCTGTGAGATAGCTCCAGGGCTTCCACAGGGAGGTGTAAATCTCAGAGACGGAGCCTGTATCCTTCACTTTACCTGGGAAAGAAGTTAAAGAGCCGTTTCCTTACATCCATCCTCTAAATACCTAAAAGCTCAGTGTGTTTGGATTTAGCTAAAAAAAAAAAAAAAGGCAGCATAATTCAAGGCAGATCGTCTCGACATCTTGGCATTTAAAATTTCCTGTCCTCTGTCTCTTTCTCCCGTAGTGACTGTCAATCCAGTGGTTTCTTGGATACACAAAGTGGGGATCAGAGATGAGTGTTGCCGTAGTTACGCAGATCAGCAATTACTTTTATTGTCGTTTTTATTGCGCTAATAGCAGACGAGGCTTCAGTTAGAAGTGATATGCTCCTTTCAAACCGAACACTCCTTTCTGTCGACATTTTATGCAAAGTTGATAGGAAGCAATGTTTTCAGCAAATATCCATATTCAAATATAAATGTTGGTTCTCCTCACTATACATTGTCATAACAGCTGCTGTTAATCCAGCCAGCAGATTCCTTTACATGATGAAACAGTACCTCTGTAGCAGTAGGCGTCGTATAGCGCAGTGGTGTTGTCATCAGTGGCGTTGGGCGTGACGGTGTGGACGCCCGGCTGACTCCCGCCGCATTCTGGGCGGGGCCAGGCGACGGGGTAGCGGACGCTGCCGTCAGAAAGCCAGCCCGGGGCGCAGCTGTCCAGACCGGCCCGCCACGCCAGGTGAAGCTGCCCTACGGTGGCCAGCTGGCCCCCGAGGGACACGCAGCGGTCTGAGGCTGAGGACAGCGAGAGCCGGCCTGGAACCGAGGTGTGAAAGACTTCGCCTGGTGGAGACAGGAATATGACATTAATAAATCAATAAAATTGTACTTTCATGCAACTTGGTTACAAACATTTAACGATTAACATTCGAGGCCGTTTTGAAGCCGAGAACCTAATCGGGGCTTGGTAACATTGATGAATTTATTCTTTGACTATAAACGGAGAAATTTTAAGCTTTTCTCTACCGTAATAGTTCAGTTTTTGGCTTACTGTGTGATATCTAATTTTTTTTAAAACTGTAAAAAGTTGCTGTAAGCTTTGTCAAATCAAAAGCGAAGATTTGTTTGAAGTCTGACATTAAAAGCCTTAACATCAAGTTGTTTTTTTTACAACTAACTCATGCTTTGGACTGATGCTTGCTGTCTTCCAATTGACTCTTCACAACAAAGCAGATCTCTGACACTGCTGGAAATAACTCTTTACCCAAAAGAAAACCAAAAACAAGCTTATTAATGTCTTTTTCCTGAATTTAGTGAAGGTGAAAAGAAAAAGAAAAGGTTTTATAAAACACTTTATCCCTACTGTGGCGCTCTGATGTTGCAACAGAATGTGATGCAAGCAACCGTATAAAAGCCAAAGGCTGTGACAGGTTTTGATGTGTTTCGTGTGTGTGTGTGTGTGTGTGTGTGTGTGTGTGTGTGTGTGTACCATCGAGTTCTTCTGCAAAACAGTACACATCAAACATCTCTTTCGGGTCTCTCTTCCCATAATTCCTCACTCCGGCAGAGTACTCCTTGTGTCCATAGCAACCCAGCTCAGGCAGCTGGACCGAATATCTGTGGACATGAACACGTAGGAGTCATGAATGGGTGTTAACCTTGTTATTTAGCGCTAATAATAGGAAAATAACAGCTTAAATGACTCATGAACATTTTGCTGCACACAGGTTTTCTCAGCCTACATGGTAAAGGTTTTTTTTTTTTTTCTCTCTCGCTTTTTCAAATTG